GCTTCCGTAGCCATACGTTTGCGCTTTACAAAGCTATTGATGTCATTAGAATCTCGACTTGTGATGCATCGACTTCTAGAGCTGCTGCTTTTGACAAACGATTGAATATTTTTGCTAGCCTATTTTCTGAACTAGGAGAAAGGATTTATTGGCTAGTTTTTTTCAGTGCGTACACCGACTCTCGTCTCCCTGAAATCAGTGTGGAATATCACGACGAAGTTCCGTATTTTTTCTGAAAGCCCATTGGTAGAACCTGAGTCCGAGAAATGTCAAATTTACCAGCTTTCACATGCTTCACTGGAGTGTACAGTGATGCAGCTGAATCCTGAGTAAGAATAAACGAACCTTCGAACACACATATTCTTCATTTAGATACCTCTCCATTGTCCACATGTTTTAGTTCCAGTTTGACGTCGATCGCATTAATTTATTTTTCATTTACGAACTGTGTACTGGTCGCAACCTCGACCGCCTCCCTCTGGAAGAACACATTTAACACCAACTCTCACTGTTTCTCCTTGCACAACAAGACGCGGCTGTCCTTTTCTAGTTGATTGATAGTCATGTCGGGAACTGTACAGTTCATCTTCGTTACCACCTCTAAATTGTTGCTCTTTTCTGGAACAGGTCATGCAGGTTTATCTCAATTTCGCTAGGCTTTTGTGGGCATATACTGCCGCAATCAGCTCCTCGTGATTGTAATTTCACCCTTTGCATTTGGTATATCGATGCCACGCCAAAAACAGCACCATTCACTTTATTCGGAGATCCTAATTCTTAGTAGACGGCACCTCTAGACATTTCCGAAATGAAGTGATTGTGATCCGCAGATTCTTACCTTGCAGGTGCAAATCTACACGAATGTGGACGGCGAAATCCCTCTAAAGTTCATCGCGACTCACAGACCAATGCCATGGTTTCGACAAAAGCCCATAAGTCGTTCTAGGCGCTGTGGCCTTTTGGTAGCCAATCGCCTTACGTCAATTTTTAATGCACAGCATAAGGTGTGTTTATGCAAAAAATGGGCTCTTTAGTGAGTTTATGAAATCACTTTTGTGAGCAGTAAGATTTTCCGTACTCACGGTTAATGGTGTTTGGTTTTCGAAATTAACATTCACTGGATGAATTTCGCGGCATTAGTGATAAACGATGATGAAACGTCCGGTAACTGAACAATTCCAGGGCATGTGATTGAATGTTGAATGGAAGTTACGATGCGATGTACTAGTGTGGATCCGTTCATTCTAACTAGAACACAACGGATACGCTGGCCCCAAAACTTCACTACCCCCGAGGGTCAGCGTAATGCTAGATTCGTTGTTTGGTTGTGAGGCTCTAAAATTACTGATGCAGGTTCTCTACAGACGTTAAACTGCTCGGAATATTTTGGATGTGCACGACCTACTTTGGCTTGAAAGCTGTGAAACACCAGACTATGTAGAATTAGAGACCGAATCCAGATTTTGCCGATAAAGAAGCCTTCCATGGTAGTTTGTGAACATATCCGACTACATTTAAGTGTTAAGCAAATCACTGTCGAAGGTTTTCTTCAAAACACGAGCCGTTGTAGGGCATGTAGGTTCCTTGTAATTACTACCTGAGTCGACGGCATCAATAGCTT